TATACTCTCTCAAGGAGGGCACCTCAAACCAGTCATGCATACTTTGTGGCTACTTTCAAAATTAGTTTCCACCTCTTGTAGAAAACTGAATGGGATTTCTTGATCAAAACACAAAACTACCAACATATTCTATGTGTTTGCTTGCCTTTTGCCTGATCTTGATCCATTTTTTTCTCATATTTGAAAAATAAAATCTGAGAGCATTTGATGTCAGATGTCTAAAATGACTGTGCTATGCATCATGCATATGACTGCTGGCTTCTGAAAAAGCTGTAATGCCTTTCCCTCCCTGCGGTACATGGACATAAATATTCACATGGCTGGGCACATTAGGCTAGGTAGATTATTCATACAGTTCCTGAAACAAGTATTTGCAAATAAATGCCATTTAAAAAAACCAAACCACTGCAAATCTCCTTCATAGTCCTTTAACTGATTTAGTGCATTACAACATAGCTGATATTGGCAAAGCACTATAGGTGCTTCTGCAGCTTCTTACCCTTCTGCAGGTTAAACTGATAGTGAGAATTTAAGGGTTGTTTGAATTGTTTGTCTAATTTTGCATGAAAATATTGACATTGTGCAATACTGAATACATTTGGTGCATGTGCAGTAGGGCTTACATTCCCATCAGTGAAAGTAGGGGAGATTTTTTGAGTAGGGTCTGATTTGATGAATTTTGAAAGGTGTGTATTTTATTTGCAGGACAGAAAAGGCAAATATTTATTTCTATTGTATTCCTTTACTGATTGGTTATACTTAGGGTTTCCATTTGTTTTGGAGTACTAGTGAGTAATTCTGATTTCCTCTTTTGCTTTTAATGAAGCATTATTATTATTTGGTAAGCATACCTTTGTCCTCAGGAAAAGGAAATTGCCTTACCCTGACAGCAGAGTTCATCTTGTCTCATGTAGACATGTGCAGAGCAGATGTTGAGTCTAAGCCCCCTACTTCCAACTCTTTTCCTAGTCAGTGAAGAAAAATGAGCACTTCTGGAGTAATTTGTCTCTGAAATATGTCTCAGGATGTCATGGATTTCACACTGAAATATCCATTTGGTGTAGTGTGTCAAGAAGGTTGTAGTTGTCTAAATACCAAACCATGGCTAAAAGGAGGTGGGATGAACAACTTTGTGATTGATAGTCAATTCTTGGTGCCATGTCAGTGGCTTGGCAATGTGTTTATGAAAAAGCAGTGTTTGACAGGATGGAGTGTGATACTGTGGGATGTCCCATGGATTTACAGTCTCAATTTCCAATTTCAGGGAGGAGAGCATTGCTATTATCAGGGAAAAATTCGAGAAAATCCTGTATCATTTGTTGCCTTGTCAACATGCCATGGATTACAGTAAGTCTTCTATTTTGTTTTTACTGGCCTTTGCTTATTACTCTTTTAAGCAAAACAAAGCTGTTTATAGTAAAATAATATATGTCTATATGTGCATAAGTGCTCTTTATTTTCATACTAGTTTGTCACCAAAACACTGCCAGTGAACCATTTGGAAATTGTGTTCCTTTTTTGTTGCTACAATGATGTGTATTATCTTTCTTTTCTAGTCTCTTTACAAAGAAAATCCTCGCTTAGAGTTTATCTCGTAGTATCTGTTTTTTTTAAACAGAATTGCTGGCCTTAAGCTGTGTGTATGGAGTAATAACTTTGATATAGGAAAATCTGGAAAAAAAGATCTAATATGGTTCAATATTTTTGATTTGAAGTACATAATTTTACTGATAATATAATTAAAGCATCTGCCATCTGAAGGTTACATGAAAGCTGTGTGTCGATTGTGCAGCTTTTGGACCTGTCTACTGGTGGCAGTATTGAATAACACTAGTCAGGTTTTCAGAGCAACCAAGTAGCTTCAGTGTCTGTTGAATCTGGGAATTACAGGATCTCAGCACTTTTGATACTGAGATCGGCTTGAAAAGTCATGGCATCAAGTGAGCCTGTGTGGAGGTTACCTGAGCTTTGCCTTTTTCGACACAAGCAGAGCTTAGCTGATGTAAATCTTCTGCACCTCTCATCTATCTCCAACTGTTCTGTAGTTCTGGTGTCAGTGATATAAATATATATATTTATCTAATGTCTTTCTGTTATATTTGTATGTTCTTTGTTAGGAGCATGGAGAGTGCATGCAGAAGACTTCTCATACTTGCACTTGTCTGATTTACAACTGTGCAGCTCAAGAAACTTGAGCCCGATTTCAGTGTGGACAGTGAGCCTAAAAATAGTAGCATCCTAATGCATCCTGAGCCACTGCATGGCTTCCATTAGCAGTGATCCATTAGGTCTTGGCCCCTAATAACTCCTAGGAGAAAAACCAGGAAGGAAGGAGAGCCTGCATATGTCCTTCCCTGCCCTCTGTTTTGTGGGTTTATTCTTAAGACTGGTTGTTCAGCTGCTCTGTATTCTTAAACTCCCTGATATTCAAATTGGTCCCTTCTAACAGTTTACATGGTGAATGATGAATTTTTTTCATTGTATAATTCAGCTCTCTTTTGAGACATATCTCCCCCTCCTTTTTTTTCTGATACAATAGAGTTTCAGCAGAGTTATTCTCCACACAATATACAATATGAAGCTTACTCTAGTAGTCTCATAATTCCAACATCCGGTGTGAGGAAGTAATGTTTTCCTGAGCTGTGTTAAGCTCACATTCTCTGACACTGCATTTCCATCATTACAACTAGCTCCTACACAGTCGATTACAAGTAAGTAATTACTAGAAACTCACATCAGCAGTCAGAGATCCTTAGCTCAACCACAGTTTGGAGTGTCTCACTGGAATAAGGGAAACTGGGGAGAGTTATCTTCTAAGAAGGTCTGCAGGGCAGGAGCTTTGCTGTCATGAATTTTAGGAAGTGCGTAAAACAGAACAGATGCCTTTAACTGAACAACAAACTTCATATTCCCAAAGTTCATGCCAGTTTTTTCTCTTGCATATTAGTACCTGTAGATCTCAGCCAGTAACAGCAGAATTTTTCATACATGTGAGAAAATGTTGGGTTTTTTTAATAATGAATTAGGAGTTCTGGTGCTAATGTCTGGTTTGTGTCCTTCCTTTTATTGGTTAAATTAATCAAGTGACTGGCTGACAGAATACTTTGAATTATGGATGTCTTCTCAATTAGTTTGCTAATGACAAATGTATCTCTGTAACCTTAACGTCTAGCGAGATGTTTTGTTTGGAATTTTTTTTTTTTGTTGTTGTGTTCAGTGGGATATGCAGTAACCACGGTTTCCTATGAGTTAACACAAAAAAGACTTTGCATGCAAACCACGGTGGTTGCTGGGATATAAACAGGCTATAATCAGGCACGACTTGGAGCTCTGGGTTTGGAGCTGCACAGGCTGCAGGTTGGGATTTTGCTGCCGGCTGGTGGTGTATGTAAAAACTGCTGCAAATTAGACTTTCACGGCTACAAATTTGATTGCTTGAAGAATACACATAATCAGCATGCAGGTTTTTGAAATGGTCCATGTTTTGTTGCTGCTTTCTCTCTAACACATCCCTAAGCGTGTGGTTTATTCGCAGCACACTGTGCTATTGAAACCGGTTGGAAAAGAGCCATGAACTTTGCTTGAGTGAGCAAGTCAGATCTGTAGGTCAGCTGTGACTATTATTCTTGTCACTGTTGAATGACTTGCTCAGAGGTCAGTGCTGCTGGGTGCAGCAGTCCCACGAGAAGCTGTTTGCTGATAGTGCTTTGTCTTGCAGACTGTGCTTAACTAAAATTGCAGTTAGAGAGAAGGAAGTTTTGCCTGATAAAGAGCTGCAGGATCTTCCCTGATCTCATCTTAATCCCAGGCAAAGAACCTTCAGCAGGTGCTAGAATATTTATCTTAAGCTGTGTAGACAGTATTTATTGCTAAAGAACAGGCACAGGTAATATGAAAGGTGAAACTGCTTTACATTGTAGATATGCTCATGCTTGATTTATGTTACATGGTAACCCAAGCTACTTCTGTGAATGTCAGTTTTGCTGATTAAAAAAAGTGCTGTGTAAGAAAAAAAAGAAAAGTATCTGGGTTTATTCTTTGTATTTCTAGTGTTTGGTTTTGGGTTTTTAAAGAGGAATGTAAATAAATAAATAATTTTGCTTTTGTGCTGCTGTTCTGTGCTATGAGCCAAGTTTAAATTTACAGCTCGTATTTATGACCTTAGTAGTGTGACTTTGAAAGGGACACGAATCCCAAACATGCATGTGTGCCACTGCAAGGAAGGCAAAACTATAAAAAAAAATATGCTGGTTTGATTGAAGATCAGAATGACAGTAATATAAGAAATATGCTTTGGTTTTATGTTCTTACAGAATTATACCTATATCAACACTTTCTTCAAATGAAATGCTGAGGGAAGAGTTAATAAAAAATGTTAAAACCTAAGTATAATTCAATTCAATAATATTTTTATTTGGGGGAAAATCTGTGCATATGTTCCAAATACGCATGTTCCTAAAGACAGGTCCCTTATGTATTGGTTGCAGGTAGATATCTCTGGCATGGGAGTGGGGGCTTTGAACTGTATTTTCAGTTGGCTAAATTACCCCGTTTTGTAGTGTTTATGTGTGTTGTAGAGAATGTTTGTGGAAGAAAGAAGAGTCTGTTTCACCACAGAAGAAAATAGTCCTTTCTGAAGTGAAGAAACAAAAGATTGATCCAGAATTGCATTCAGTTCCTGAAACCATTTTTGACTGCTTCCTTTTCTAAACATTTAAATTTTCAAAGTATATGAACTTCTAAAACTTACTTTCACGTTGCACTAGTATTTGTGTATTAAATCAGTATTTGCATTTCCTGCTCTTGACAGTGGGATGTTCTATGATGGAAATCATACTTACCTTATTGAGCCAGATGAAAACTACACTTCAGATGTAAGTAGAACTTACAGTAGTCCTGCTGTGTTTGTTGACTATATATGTTCATGGGAATAGGGTAGGCATAAGGCCATGGGACCAAAGGGTCCTCCCCTCATTCCCAATTCCTTTACCTCATATGTGAGACTCCATTCATCACAGACAAAAGTAGACCTCCAAAAATGAGGTGGTGGTGTGTATACATGTGTGTACTAGAGCAGTGCAGCACCAGAGGGTGATGAGGGTCCATTGGAGCCAGCAACAGAAGCTTGTATGTGCCCTGTCCCCTTCTCTGGCACTTCCTACTCTGGGTTCATAACATCACTCTCCTCCTGGTTCATCCTTGACTCCAGTTCAGCAGCTCCTGTGACTCTCATTGACTCTCCCTGGGCAGCTCTCTTAAGCCTAGCTCTAAGTGCACTCAGCCATTGTGTTAGATGTACTCAGATATTTCAAATAAAAGATGATTAACTGTGGTGTTAGTGATCACATCACAGCTGGGAAAAGGAGAAGAGTGTGGAGTAATGGTGCATTGGCCTTGCAACTTGCATGTTCACTGCTGTATGTGCTGGATAAAATAATCTTTGGAATCGTCTACTTAATGCTCATGAGGTGGATTAGTTTTTCCAGGTTTAATGCACGCAATTATTTACCATTTCAGAATGACTTCCATTTCCACTCTGTCTACAAATCCAAGTTGTTTGAGTTTCCGTCGGACGACCTGCCATCTGGTATGATTTTTTAATATTCATGACTTAAGGAGTTGTTTTAGTCTAAAGCCAAATTCATTAATTGTATTTGATAGATAAAATTTGGGTGGTCTATTGTTTCTTTGGCTATATCTTCTTTTTCCCAATTAAAGAAAAAAGCACTGAAAAGAAAAGAAAGAATTTGAAACACTGAAAGTAGTGGTAAGGAACTTGAAGTGCTGAACCTTCATGTTGCATGTTTCTCTTGACAAGTCACGTGGTCTATGAACTGCATTGTGCTGGTAGTTGTAGAGGGTGAAGGAGTGAGGTAGCCTAAAGATGATGAAAATAAACAGCATATTGCCAGTGGTTCATAACTCTTCATGTATTTTTCCTGTTTTGAGATTCAGGGTGAGTACCATGGTGTAAGCATAAGTCTGGAAGACAGGAACTTGCCAAATGCCATTGCTGCTCAGTGACTCTCATCTCCAGTCTGATCAGCATCTTTCACAGTACTGGCTGTAATGTGGGCCGTGCATTTCAGTGCAAATGAATGTGGAGGCAGAAGTGGTTTCAAGGGCTTGTAGTGATGGATGCCCACGAACAGTTCATATTGTGTGTGGAGGGAGAAGGGGCTTTTAAAAAAAAGGAGTTTTCATCTGAGAATTTGTCTTGTTAATTGAAGCTAAAATTGCAGTATTTATGACATATCCCCATTCTGTCAAAGATTTGCCAGTTTTACAGATGCGTTTTCCTACTCTACAATATATATCCTAGATAAATAAAACTGTCCTTCATAGACAATGACATTTTGGTAGAAACCACTTCTAGACTAATTTCTTCAGGAGAGTTACAGATGTCCAGTCATCTTGTTACAAACTATTTGTCCTATGGCTGGATCTGAGATCTTACAGTGCTGAGTACTGCACATAGAGTGGTCTTTCCCTGGAGCACCGTGTGTGCAGGTTTGCTACTTGTTAAGCATTCAGAGAGCTAATGAGGAAGAAACTAAGGGAAATTGTTACAGTTGAGTTGCCTTAATTTCAGTTCTGAAGAATGAATCTTTCTGAGTCTAAACAAAAGTGTCCCAGCTTGGTGCCTCATGTCCCGTGATGATGATTGCCCAGGCGAGATGGAGGAAGTATTGGGATGGAGAGGCAGCACAAAAGATTCATGCAGGGGACAATATTGGCATCTGTATCGTGAAGTTTCCTATATATATGCACCTTAAGTTGCCTTAATTTCAGTTCTGAAGAATGAATCTTTCTGAGTCTAAACAAAAGTGTCCCAGCTTGGTGCCTCATGTCCCGTGATGATGATTGCCCAGGCGAGATGGAGGAAGTATTGGGATGGAGAGGCAGCACAAAAGATTCATGCAGGGGACAATATTGGCATCTGTATCGTGAAGTTTCCTATATATATGCACCTTAGACATGACACCTCATGCAGGGGAGAATATTGGCATCTGTATCATGAAGTTTCCTATATATATGCACCTTAGACATGTACCATGGTTACTACCTGTGCCTGCAGAGACAGTAGTGTAATGAGAACAATTTATTGAACATAAGACCAAATAATCAAGTGTGTCTTTTATCACACTTTCTTGAGGCCATGTCATTAGAGAGGTTGGAAGCAATGCAACCACTGCTGAGTTTAAAATAAATGTTCTTGCTGAGGTTGTTAAAGCAGAAGAGTGCTAGAGCTGGTAATTAATAGGTATCTATTGGCCTGTTTTAAAAGATTTCCTAATAGTGAAAGTTTATGTTTTCAAGATTTTGGAATAAAATTATTTTAAATTATGAAAAGGGATTCATTGCAAGTATATCCCCCAGTTTCACCTCCACCAAAGCTTCTTGATTTCAAAAAACTGTCAAAATAGGGCTTCATGGTTTTGTTTTGATTTGCTCGTTTGTTTTCTACAAAATTTGAGACATGTTGTACAGTTTCGATTTTACTATGGATAACACATAAGTAGTTGCTGGCTTTGCTGTACAAAGCCCAGTATGTGACATAATGGCACATGTTGCCATTAGATTGAATTAGAATCACAAGATTGTGGAAAAGGTTAAAAAGGAGATTTAATTGCGGAGTGCTAGTGGTCTTAATTACACAAGCATTTGTATTGTGGATAAGAGGTAGAAAAGGTTAAAAGGAGATTTAATTGCAGAGTGCTAGTGGTCTTAATTATACAAGCATTTGTATTGTGGATAAGAGGTACAGGGTGCTAATCTTCTATCACTTTTATATTCAGGATCCCACATATGGAGAAATAAACCTTAACCCACAGTCTGCTGTCCCACATGCCCATACTTGTTGATGTAAAATTGCTTGAAAAGGTGTTTCTGAGGTTTGTAGTGGAAGTTTCAGTGGGTGTGTTCGATTATATCCTCATTAGGAGTCCCACCATTTTTCCTTGTCTGTGATTATTCAATTTATCTCTGTCTTTAAGTCATCCTCCATGAATAGGCACAGCTCCAGAGGATGAGAGCCCTGCCAATGTCTCTGCTTGGCCCTGCCTCTTCCCTGCCAGTTTGGAGAGTGCTGACTGTTGTCTTGTCCTTTTTCTTTAAATAATATTTGCAATTCATTGCTAATAGTATTGTTGTGATTGATTTTTTTTAAAGTACTACAGCAGAATTATTGATAGCAAGCACTATGCTAGGTTATGTCATCAGTATTTTTTATATTCCTTACTACTCTCATAATTTGTCAATTTGACCAGTCTAAGGAGATTTTCCTTGAAGCCAAGATTTTCTTATCTTTAAAAGAGTGTGTGTGTAAGCTAAGATTTCCATTCAGCACTGTGTTAGGAATGAACTGGATGTATCATCAGCTTCAATATTGATGTTAGAAAGGGGAAAAAAATCAAGTACTAGGGGTTATTGGGTATCAGTGATAGTAAAAACATACACTGTTATATCACAGTTTGATTGCAATGTACTTTTTACATTCTTTTGCTCCTTAGGTATTAAAAAAATAAGCAAACTATTGCAGAAAATATTTTATTGTACTGTAGTTTGCAATAGTCTGAGGGGTAATGAGGACTTAAAATAAGGAAATCTTGGATGGATGACTTGGACTTCTTAGAGCAATTGACTTTGTATTTAGTAGACTGTATTTTTTCTCACAAGCTGTGTTGAGGCGTGCAGTTCCCTGGTATGGTCTTAGATGACACTGTGTTATCAAAGGTGTTGTTTTTCAAACAATGCATAACAGATGTCCTTTTCTTTTGAGGTCACTTGAAAAACAAGTAGGTGTGGCACTTACGGACATGGTTTAATGGGACTTGGCTTATGGCTAGACTTGATGATACTAGCAATCTTTTCCAACCAAAACTATTCTATGATTCTGTGAATACTCACTATGGTTTTTTTTCCAAGATAATATATTCCCATCAAAATATGGGTTTTTTTTTCAAGATAATATATTCCCATCAAAATATGTGCTAGGCTTTCTCAACTGTCAGCATTTGCTGTGATTTTGCTGGTCATGTTCTTTTTCCTGAGGGCTCTTGGCTGGAAATGCACCCTGTGTGAATTCATCCAGCTTGTGAATCACAATGCATTGTTAATGTGTGTTAATGTGTTGATGTTAATGACTGCATTATTTCCCTCTAGAGACGAGTGGCTTCTGATGGTGGGTAAAAAAAATCACATTTGCTTGTAAAGTTATCTGAAACCCTATATACATGTTGTAAATTGTTATTTTATTGATTGAAAAGTGCTGGTTTTGCCAGTTTCATTACCCATGTTATAAAACCAAGTATGACAGGTTGAGATCCAGCTCTGTGTCACTAGAACATAGTCTAAATTATCATATGTAAACCCTAATAAAAAACAACATTGCAAAAATGTTTTCAAGATTTAGTTTCTCATCCTTGCCAGTTCAAGAGTCTGCAGGTCTTTAAGCAGTAAGTGGGGACCCATGGGTGTGATTTAATTTATTTTTGGTTTTTTTGTAAACAAAGTCCTCAAGTTCTCTGGTGTAACCATGAAAACATTTTTAAGCAGAGGACCTATGTTTGTTCAGGTTGCTGCATAAAAAGGTATCTGTAAACTTCACATACCAAAATGACACTATAGTCCCCAGGATTTAGCCAAGACAATACCAGTTAGTCATGCTTTGCTTTGCTGGTTTGTTTTATCAGTAACTAGCCACTCCTAGTTAAGATTAGGATACAGACCTGCCAGTGTTTTGTCAGATGGGCAATTCAGCTTTGTGTTTTAAGGTTTTGCTGATATGGCAGCCCTGTCAAATTCCTATCAGCATTGTTTTTAATCCTAGTTTTGAACCTCATGCAGAAATTACACAGTTAATGTACAGTAAGTGGGAGGTGGAGCTGTGAGAGACTTTACTGTCTCACAAGTAAAACTGAACTGTTCAGGGGTTTGTAACACAACCAGAAGTTGTGTACAAAGGTATGTGAACTGAAAGTCCCTTAATTTACACAGCTCCTGTAGCACTATCTACTTCTCTGGAGGACTGGTAAAATCACTCTGGCATACTGAAAGCAGTTTTCAGATCCTGGAGACTGAAAGGATGTCCAAAGCTGCAGAAAGCATGAAAGAGGGAAAGCCTTAAAGGGAAAAAGACATATTACAAACTAAGCTACTGCAAATATTTACTTTACATGTCTCAAAGAAAGATCTTGGTGGGACTATGTGAATAGCAAACATGTTTATACAAGATGAGGAAAGGGGTTTCTATTGTATAGAGAAGAGTGGCAGGGACTATGAATCTTAAATTGAAGATGGAAAAAATACTGCTTGGATTTTTTCAAAGAGTGAGAGCAAGTATTGTCTTCTGCTTAGTTTATAATGTGTCCTTTTCCATGAGTGGCTAGTAATGGATTTGGTGAAAGGGATTTGGCAAAAGAATAAACTACTTGGTGCTTATGATTAGAGGTTTAAGAAATTAAAGACAGTGGGATTAGCAGAGAGGAATGTTGTATTGATAAGTGAGCATTGCCAAAATCTCATAAGGTTTCTCCCAACTCTGACATATTTTGCTTTGTGAATATAATCGTCTTAAAGCATTAATTCTGCCTTCCGTGCTCTTCTTATTAATTTAGGCAACTATTGCAAGAGCTCTGTGAATGTCTGCTGAATTCCTGAAAATGTGATTCATTCCACTGCTAATAAAATTTCATGCCCAGTGTTGGTGAAGTTTTGGCATAGAACATCTGCTGTGCTTTCTGAAGCGTGACACCTACAGATCATCTGTTTCCACAGACCCAGATTATCACTAGTAGAGTTTTTAATAAGGGCCCTGTTACTGGGAAGCATCTCTAATATTGCCTCCTTTCTAGCTGGAAACTTGAAACAATGAGTTGTTGCAGCATCTGATGTGATGAAGAATGCCATACTACTGCCATGCAGCATGAGGGTCATTAATTGTTGGGCTATATTCTCGTAAATATTCAATGTATTTGTCTGTGTTTTCTGCTTAGAGTTCTGGCAGGTGAATACTACATCACAGAATTTTGTTGTAAAGCCAAGACACAAAAGAAGTAAAAGGCAGGTATGTGCCAATATGCTTGTTTATAAGTAATATGCCATCAAGTTTGTTTCATGTGCCCTGAGTTAATTTGTCCAGATGGAGTCCTGCTGCTTGTGTTGGTTTGGCATGAGGTCTCTGTATCAATACAGCTACTGTAAAAAGAGGTATCTAATGTGAGATAAACATTGTTGTGTTCTCTTAGACATTTCCTACCTGAAGAGTTATTAATTTCTTAAATACTGCTAAATTGCAAATCCAAAAGTAGCTAAAATACTTTAATTTTGAGTGTAGAGTTTTATCAGGAACTCCCTTTAATGAAACACACATGTATTTTTTATGTTACAATGGTGGCAAGTAGCTACTTTATCTCACTTTATTTTGGTTCAAAATGAATATTCAAAACTGAGAGTTCATTCCCTATTTATTAAAGTGGGTGAGCCACTAAGTGCAGATGTTTGTTACCAGTTACACTCTCTCTGTATTGTCTTCTTTCTTAGAGTTATATTCTCTCCCTAGGTTCGTCAGATTCCACGTAAAGTTGAAGAGGAAACAAAATACATTGAGTTAATGATTGTAAATGATCATCTAATGGTAAGACTGACACACTTCAGTATCTCACAATTATAATTTGCATCAAATTGTCTTAATTTATACATAAAGGATAACAATAAAGAACAATATATGGCCAGAATAAATTCAATATGTCTTTAATAGAAGAGATTATGGTCTCATTAACCATTGATAAAGTTGTTTCTGAATCTTGGCAAGGTAATTTCACCAAGAATGCAACAAGGCCTGAATATCAGAAAGAGGGGTCATAAAGTAAGATGTCCAAGTGACTTAAGCTGATGATTTTCTTTCTGGCTTTCATGCACACCTCTCTTAGTTACAGCCACTCAGCAATCGATAGTGCAGTTATTTCAATTGTGCAGCAGCTGTTGACAATTGGAACACTGATAGTGACTAGATTTTTTTGTTACATCCAAATCAATAGAGAGAGAATTATTTTGTTAAGCTTCAATACTTTCCCTGGGAGAACATAAATAGGTTCTTTAATGTTGTGGGAAAAGACATAATAAAGATTAGTGCATTGAAGAAAAAACAGACTCATGCAAGTGGGAAAAGGCACAGATTTATGTTGGTGAAGATGATTAATAATTAATGAAGGGAATATCAAAGGAAATGGTGAATTCTTCATCACTTGCAGTCTTCAAAGGTAGTGTCAAACACAAACAATAGGACTCAATCTTGAAGTAACTGGACAAAGTTCAGTCTGGTGGTGCCCATTTGACTGGTGACATTAGATGATTTTATGGTCCTTTATGGCTTTAAAATCAAAATATATCTATACATTTAATCTACTCTTTCTGTGATGTGCAGCAGTTCTCTCAAGCAATACCTGAATTGGCAAAAATAGACATCAGAGTGTAGAAGGAATGTGCCACTGTCCTTGGACAGCGTACTCTTCCATCAGCTCAGTTTGGTGAGCATAGCAATAAATTCTTGGATTAGAACTGATAATACTGGATGCAAACTCTCTAAATTTTTGTTATTGTGTTTGATCCTAAAGACACGAAGCAAAAAACTTTCCCCTTGGGACCTTATCTGTCTGGTCAGATTTCCTCCAAGGGCTGTGTTTCCTAATTTTGGTTAATTACAGCCACAGCAAGAGTCTGTCCACTTAGGAGTTTATTCTCTGAAACAAATGCCAGTGAATGTCCATGGCTGAAGAAGCCAAATAATTTCCTCCTGGGAGAGGGAATATTGTATGCTCTAGGCTCATCCCTTTCCCTATGGGCTAGGCTAGCACACGTGTATGTAGATTACCCTCTGTGCATGCAGTCTATGCCTCACTCCGGGTGCAGTCAGTGTGAAGCTGACACTTGGCAGAGTTGGAGCTGGTACTGCTGTTCACCCTCCTCAGGCATTCCTAGAGGGCACAAATAACCTTGTGCTTCTTCCTCTGGTTCAAGGAACTGGCTGCACCCTGCCAGCCCTGCTGGGCTGCTCACTGCTGTGAGGTGTGCACTGCCCTGTCTGCCTTCTCAGCTGCTTGTCCAACCGTTGCTTCCAGTTGGGGAATAAGGTTTTTAAAACCAGATGGGCTTATAAATTATTGTACTGAAAACATTTCCGTAGGCCTGCAGTGTCTCTAAGCATCCCAAATTTTGAGTTTTTAGTTGTATATAGAGGCTTGAGCAATATACTTATTTCCCTTTGTTCCAGTGCTTCATTTTCTATTTATTTTTTAGGTTTTTCTTTTCAGCCTTTCAGTCATTTTTAGCTTCACAGTCTTGTTCTTCTGGGCATTTTTTTTTTTAGGAAGCGTAACTTCCTTATTTTTGGTGAGTTTTTCTGTTCTTCTAGGCATTTTTTTTTTTAGGAAGTGTAACTTCCTTATTTTTGGTGAGTTTTTCCCCCCATTCCTGTTTGAAAGCACACCTTTCCCACCCCATAGTAACCAGGCAATTCTTCTTGCCCACTAAAAAATCCTGAGTTTCAGAAAATACCATCAACACTCCAAAATCAAGTGTCACATGGTGGTTAAACATTTCTGAAAATCTTGTCCATTCTGTCCTAAATTCTTCTGAGATACTTGTGACTTTCGTGCCCAAGGTGCTCATTCACGAGTGGTTTTTTCCCTGCAAATAGGAGTACCTGGACAACTGTTTTCAGTTTCATCCTTATAGCAGTGCATTACAAATATCAGTAAAGGTGCCATTGGAGTCTGATTGCTGAAGTGATTTGTGGCATTACAGGAGTGTGTAACTATACATGAAGAAAAACACAAAATGGCTTAAGAGGGAGAACTGAAAAAAAAAAGGAAGTCTGATAGATTAAAACATGGATGCAGGCACTTCTGGGTTATCCCCTCTAAAGGAATCTCAAGTATGAGTTTTTGTTGCTAATTTCTGCATTGGCATTTCTGATTAACTTCAAAATTGCCAAAAATAAGGATAATGAAGAGAGTGACAATATGTTCCTGTTCCTATAGCGGTTTCCAGTAAAGATCTTAGAGTGCTTTCCAAACAGGAATTAATAAATCCTCACAAAAGCTTTTGTATATCAGCTGTGAGAATCCTCACAAAAGCTTTTGTATATCAGTAATGTGCATTTCTGAGCAATTTTCTACTATCACTCATTAAATTACATTCAAGACAGGAGACCAGACCTTGTACAGGGGTTTCACTGCTGGTGATGTAGTTGCTTTTTACTTCATGCTCTTTTTGGAAAGGAAGCTTATTTTTCTGAAATCTGTGTATGTAACTTGTCTGTGTTTGTTCTGCAGTGTAAAAAGCATCGCTTGTCCGTCGGCCACACTAACAGCTATGCTAAATCAGTTGTGAACATGGCAGATTTAGTAAGTATCACTCAACTAAATGTTCCTTTATGTGTGAGATGAGTCATATGATTCTTCTGCCGAAATATACAGGAGCTGTCAGTTCATGGTATACCAGTAATGATGTATGTGAAGATTTTCATCTAGACCCACAGTCAGCCACCTATAAAGCCTTTGTTTAATGTAAAGCACCAGAGATGTTTTTGTGGCTTCAAGCATTTAAGTATCCTGCTGGATCAGTCCCTTGAGTCTGAGTTTTAAAGAGCACCTTAGATATGATAATTTTTGACCCAGGATCCCTGTGTTGGCGACTTGAAACCAGAAAGATAAACTGAAATTAGAAGGCACTAAAATTTCTTCAGATAAAGGGCATTTGAGTAAATGAGTTAGAATAGTGGCATATGTGTGGACTATGTGGATTATATATGTGATGCTGAATTGGATGAGCTTCTGACTCTTGCACCTTACCCTAGAAAAATACTGCTAGAAAAAGAAAATGCTTGAATGTATTTGGTGTGGAGTGTTAAACCCCAGCATTGAAAGGATGGCCCTTTTTTTGTGATTCAGCCAACATGATGTTAAATACTCCTGTGGACATGTATAACAGTGAAAAATGTGGTTTTATAGATCACTACGTAGTATGAGAGAGCCCTCATATGCCACTGGGATGAGCTGGATGTTATAAAAGACCCATTAATTACAAATCTTTGAACTATTTGTAGTGCTTCTGTGGTAATTTTTCAAAAATCTCATCTTCCTTCTATGCACCTCTGCCTGTGTAGGACCTGCAAGTGATCTTTTTGCAGACTGAAAAAGCTGATTGAAGAATTAGGCCTAAAATGTAGATTTTACTTTGTTTTCATGTTTGTTGGTTGGTTTTAAGGGAGATAAAATCACCTAGGAAATCCTAAAATATGCTAGAATAAGTTAAATATTTAGTTATGTAAAAATGCTATTACAGAAAAGAGGGGTAAAGCTCCCCTTTGTTCTATTTGACATAATATATTTGTTCATTCTGTTTATGTACTAGATATATAAAGAACAACTTAACACCAGGATAGTATTGGTTGCCATGGAAACCTGGGCTACTGATAACAAGTTCACCATATCTGAAAACCCCTTGGTGACCCTACGTGAGTTTATGAAATATAGGAGGGATTTTATCAGAGAGAAAAGTGACGCAGTTCACCTTTTTTCGTACGTAACCTCGTGTGATGTTTTATTACTGGGTTTTTTTCTTTCCTTGGGGGTTGCTCCTCACAAGTGGCTGATGCATCTCCTTTCTGTTGTGTGTGTAATCCACGATAATTCAGAAAATAATGTTTCTGATGGGGAGATGGGGAAAAGTTAATGCACAAACTGCCTGCCAGTGCACCTCGAGGTTTGACTCTCATTTTAGTGTTAACGCACTGAGCCTGAGCTGCATGCGCTGTAATCCTTTCTTAGTCTGTGCAATTACCTACTCCACAAGTGCAGCTACCTCAAGGGTCATGCATGGTTCCCCCTCAGAGGTTGGCTTCTTCAGCAGCAGAGTACAGATAGCCTTGTACTAGTTGAAAGCAGAACATTGGTTTTGAAACCAATGAGTTTTCCTGCTTAAGTGCACTATGGCCTGCTTTTCTTTGTTGAGTGACCTGCGTGCTGAAGGATTTCTGAAGTGTTTCAGGTCTTCAAAACTGTTTGTTCTCCTAAGACACTTGAGCTATAAAAAGAATAAGCTGAGAGGGATGTTATTTTCTCTAAATATCCTAATTGTTTTGGAAATAAGATTGATATAATAAAATGTATCTACAAAAATTGAGGAGAGGTTTATGGCTGAGATTTTTGATCTGCACTAGGCAGGCTAGATGAATGTCTCTGCTGGAGCCCTTTTTTCTCTCTGCTGACTGTCTTAGGAACCTATATGAATAAATTTGATCTAAACACCTCACTTTCTCATGACTCCAGTAGGGTTCCTGGATACCCAAGCCTGGTATCCACCCTCCCAGAATTTTTGTGCATGCTTAATTACTGCCATTGACTTCTGCCATGAAGAAAGCTAGTCAGGTCTGCAAGTGATGCTTGCAGATTTTGGTTTCTCTGTGTCTCAGATCTTCATCTGTTAAATGTGAATCAGGTTTTCTCACATCCTTTGTATATCTTCTCTGGTGACATTGTAATGTCTTTGCGGGGAAGTCTTGTTTTTGTGAATGTGTGTGGATTGACTGGGAATAAAGAGAGCACAATTTGATCTGTGACTGGGACTCTGGATACTGCTGTAATGCTAATTACAGTGCTATCCATAGCAGCACCACCACCAATGGTGTTTGAGGTATTGCATTCATAGATTGTTTAGAAACAGCAATTTCTGAAATTGTATCTGTGAGTGAGACATGGTTAAGTTGGGAGGTGAGGGTAGCTGGTGTGATGATACAGTGCTTACAAATGAACTTCCACCTTCAGCACAGTTAGCTCATTACATTGCTTCGTGATGTTTTCCCGTTCTTCTTTGAGAAAAACAATTTGCCAGAGCTTGGATGGATCAGTATGCTGAAGTGAAGCAGAATATATTTTGTCTCGAGTAACAGACAGTCATTCATGATGATGTGCTCAGCACCAAAGAGGTGATTGGATTGAGGTTCAGAGGGCATCTGTGCCTTGGATGAGATCAGCTGTAGTTCTGAGGAGTTTTCACCTGCCTCTGCATCTTCTGCTAATGTATCTCCCTTTGAGTCTTACCACATCAGCATTGCCCAGTTAGACATGTCATTTTACTAGTGCCCCTGCACTGGCAGCATGATGGCATCTCTTGCACTCTGCCTGTAGCATGTGCCAGCAGAAGTCACTCGCTGGAGTAGTATGTCAACAAGCAAAATGCTGGTGAGATCCAGGTGATTTGGCAGAATAGTCCCCTTCTTCTTACGCTTTTTTTATATTAGGTAGTCTGAGAAGGAGGAGGGAAAATGGTATAACTTTTCTGGAAATAATTTGTCATGTGAGGTTTGTGAGTGGTTATCTGTTCTTCCCATTTTGTTTCTGCATAGTTTACAGTGTAGTGGTGGCAACCAACATTTGCAAATGCCAGCTTCTCATGTGAAAATCAGAAGAGTAGATACTGGAATAGATAGGTGTAAAACTCATGGACTGAGCTGGGTAAACTTCCTTTTCTTTTCCTTTTTGTCAAAGGGGGAGTCGATTTCAGAGCAGTCGAAGTGGTGTAGCCCACACTGGTGGAATCTGCTCCTTGCTTAAAGGCGGAGGTGTGAATGAGGTAGGTGGGGATATTGGCATGAGCAAAAAGTCACAGAAATTTATCTGCGCAGAATTTATCAGTGCAGACTTGTTCCTCAAAATATTTTGCTCTTTCTTTGATGATGCAGAATCTTAGTGCAACTCTAGAGAAAGGACATCTCAATAAAAAGTGATGAGTGAATAAAAGCATATATAGATTCAAATACACTTCTCATCAAATCCTGTCATTCATATTTGCAGCCACAACGGCAAGAAAGAAACAGACTTGTCCATGAGCCAGTGTTTAGTTTTCCTCACTTGTGCATTGTCTAGCTACCCTGAAGTGAGAATTCTAACACTGTGCATCTAATTTTGCCTTTCCTTGCCCTGAAATGAGAGAAGCTTCACTTGAATCTGAGATACCTGTATGTAACTGGTTACTTTTCCCACCTTGCTTGTTTCTTCCAGTTTGGAAAGCCAGACTTAATGGCAGTTACTCTGGCACAGACCTTGGCCCAAAACATTGGCATTTTTTCAGACAGAAGAAAACAACTAAGTGGTAAGGTTATTTACTTTTACACTCTGTCTCAAGAAACAAAATCTTAAAAAGTGGAGGATTTTATCAGTGTCTCTCTGACATGTATTTTTTCATTCAGTTTCTCACAACGTTGAAATGTTTTTCTTTCTTGTAATTACACAAAAAGGGACTCACATATCAGTAATTTTCCACTTTTTAAATGCTGTGGTTTCGCTCTGCTCATAATTCCTGGCAGCACTGGTGCCACCATTTCATTCAAGATAAATCCTGAAGGTGTCTGCCACTCCATTCATTTCAGGGAGATTGGTGTCCCACCTACAGACTGAATTGCTGCTGCCTTAGGGCACAAGGAGGAAACATACATTATTACACCTGGGCATGATGAGGAGCCGCTTCAGTACTGTAGCACAGAACAGTTTTGATAATATAACTTTTTATCTGTTTTCCTTGATTGATTTCATCTTGTAGATTACCCAAATCTCCTGTGTTGGCCACCCTACTGCTACCATTTCTCTGCTATAACCTTGCTATTCAACTTCTTAGTTAACCCCTGTTTTCCTGCAGTTCAGATCTCTGCCACCCTGCCTGGACCAAGCACCTCACCCTCCCTGCTTTCATGTTATATAAAGTCACAGCTTGATATGATTAAGATAAAAATACAGTTTTGAAACAATTTAGATGATGAATTGGAGTGCTTACTTATTGGATCATGTGTACTTATGTGGGTTAGATTTAAAAAAGATAAATCACTATTTAATAATAGAACTCTGCTTAGGTGAATTTTGTTTTCAGTCATTGTAAAGATCATGTAATGCTGAGATACATCTGCATTTAAAGGTTTTTTTCAGATTATGTAATTCTGTTTTTAAAAATACTCAGAAATGTAGGACTGATGCTCTATGCTACTGACATGTTCAGTATTCATTTTCCAGCCATCATTTTGTGCTGATATAGGAGCAGGGTAAAAGTGAAAATTATAATAGTGGTGATTCTTTATGGCTGAGAGGGGCAGGACACTGTTTTGATGGGGAGAGAGGAGAATGCAACTGCTGGATAGAGCCTCGTTCCCTTTTTAATAGTACTTTTAAAATGGAAGCATTAAACTGATGTTCATGTATTATATAAGGAAAGTTACAGAATGTAGAAGTGCAGAGCATTTCTACTGAAATAGAAGCAAGACACATTTTGAAAGCAGAGGACTGAGACCAGAGCAAAGTGATTCCAGGCAGGGTGGCAGGGCAGAAGGGAGGGCATGGGGAAGGGAGGCAGCAGGGAAGAGGGGCAGAGCAGAGGAAGAAGCTGATAGATCCTGCTGTACTGCCTTGTGTTTTGTTTTTATGCTTCTTTGTCTGCATTATTGTTTGGTTTTTTTTTTTCAAGTGAAGATTTCCCCAGTCGCATTAGCATAGTTGAAGAAAACTAAACGAATACAAGAATGGCTAAAATTATTCCTTTTTTTTTCTCTGAAAATTTGGGAATTGAATATCATCACACAGGAGAAGGTGGGAGTGCTGACTCATGATATGCAAGTGCTGAACACTGACATTGCAGTTTCCTCTAACTTCACTTTAAGAGAAGAAAAGAAGATCAGGACTATTTTCAAAGCTCAGGATTGCATAGAGTTATGTCTAGTGTTTAAAAGCAAGTTTGGCAGTGTGCACTGATACACTTAGACTAAAGTGTGCAATAAACCAGCAAATTTCTCTTTTCAGCTTGTATTTAAATATGAAATGGAATTGAGTACATTGTGGGGTTTGTGATAAGAAATGTATTATTTTGGACTCACAAGACTCAAGATGTAACTTTTTATTTTATCGTTTTTTTCTTCTCAGGTGAGTGTAAGTGTGAGGACACATGGTCTGGATGCATAATGGGAGATATGGGGTAAGGCATTTCACTAAAGGAAGGTCATGTTCTTCATACAGTGACATAAAGGAAAGGTGTGAAATTGTTTGCCTTTGTGGTTCAGAAAAGAGTATTTTGTCATTTTTCAGAAAATAAGGTATTGGTTATACACCATGCATAGACACTTTCAAAGCAATGTGAGAATAAGTGAATTAAGGAGAGGGTATGTGAGGATTTTTGATGAATGCTAGTTTAACTTGCAAAGCACAGGGCTCAACAGACAGGCTGGGTCATTGTAAAGAAGTATGTATAGTTTCTTTTCTCTGCAAGTTTGCTATTGAGTGGTGAGAAAATAAGGTATTGGTTATACACCATGCATAGACACTTTCAAAGCAATGTGAGAATAAGTGAATTAAGGAGAGGGTATGTGAGGATTTTTGATGAATGCTAGTTTAACTTGCAAAGCACAGGGCTCAACAGACAGGCTGGGTCATTGTAAAGAAGTATGTATAGTTTCTTTTCTCTGCAAGTTTGCTATTGAGTGGTGAGAAGTAACAATGGCACACCCTAATTATTGAAATCCTATAATCAGATTTCTGAAGTATGCCTCATTTTCAGTGTTTCTGTTGGAATCTTTCATCTATAATGTTTTTAGCCCCCAGTTTATGTGATAATGTTAGAAAAACTGCTCCCATTGGAGGCTGAGTATGCTTATACCCACATTTCTCACTGGAGAGATTTTATCTAACAACTGTTGAGTCAGCAAATTTTAGCTGCTGGATGAAATTTGATGCTTTCTAATGTATTCAGGTCTTAATTCTTCATATTACAGGACTGGTTTTTACCATGTGTGAACTAAACTGTACTCTAGTTTTAGATATAGACAATGCTCCAAATTTTTAATGAATTTCAAATGGATCTGCAAATTTTAACAATAGCTTTGTGGTCAGAAAAATTTTGCACAAAGAAGTATATTTTATTCAAAGCTCTTTGAAAGTATCAAGGTGTGCATTTTTCACCTTGGTATAGCCAAAAACATACTAGGTGGGATTTTTCTGATTTTTTGCCTGCTAAAAAGACAATCTGAGAAGCATTTTTTATTCTTATAAGTGTTTTCTTATCTAGTGGTCTTTAAATTCTTTATCTGATGTCCAAACCTTTCGAATAATTAGATACTCAAAACCACCTAGTATTTACCTAGCTTATTGATGAATGTTGGTGTATTCCACAGTCTCTGTAATGTTTAGGCCTAAATCATAAACACTAGAGATGGAAAATCTCTCTAATGTTTAGACCTAAATCATAAACACTAGAGATGGAAAAGGCCAATTATGGTTTGGAAGCTATCACTCCTGGCAATGCAGGATAGCACTTCTGCTAATATTTCCTTATCCAGTGATGAGCTGATAGAGGAAAGCCCTTGAGACTCCAAAATCTGCTTGAAGCATAAGTACTTTCATGGCTATGGACCTGAATATAAAGATCACTAAAGCTGCTTTGGGAAACTTTCCATGTGGAAAGGATCCATGCAAAGATTCTCTGCATCTTTTTGTTTCTGGGTGAGGCTCTGAGCCTCAGGTTGGCACTCTGGACTCAACTGAAATTTATTCAGCAGGGCACATGACAGAGGGAAGCTGAAATATTAGGTGGTGTTTCTTAGAATCATGTTCAAGATGGCATAACTCTATTATATAAAAAGAATCTGTTAGCCAGGAGAGCAACTTCCTCCAAGTGGCAAACAAACTATGATCAGTCTTAGTCTCCTGCAGTATGTGTGGGAAGAAATAAATGTATTTCTGAGATCAGGACTGTTAGTGGAACAGGTCACGTTTGTGAGAGCTACACACTTTGTAATCAGATTTGTGGTGCTTGGCATGTAAAACCAGTGAAACGTTCCAGACCTCTCACTTTCCATGAGCTCTGTGCTGTTGAAATTTCCTTGTAAGTTACTAAAATGATTTTCAGATTAGATAGACTTGTAAGCAGATTGTCCCTCTGATTCTGGGCAGTGTGTTTTTCTGCTTTTCCTAAAGTATAACATTATATTACTCCTATTTTGAGAAAACAAAACACAGATTACAAAGCACTAGAGAAAGTAATCCTGCTACCTTATTTCTGTCAGGTACTATCTTCCAAGCAAGTTCTCTGAGTGTGATATTGAAGAGTATCATGAATTTTTAAACAATGGAGGTGGAGCCTGCCTTTTCAATAAACCAACCAAAGTAAGCATTTCCATATTATTAAGTATTATTTCTATTCTATTTCTTACTTAATTCAAATCAAGAAAAATGAAAATTATAATGTTGGAAAAAATAACACGTATAATTTTGATATTTCTGATTCTCTCTAAGTTCTAAACATTCTGGTAACCTGTGAGTAAAAGTAGCTGATTTTAGTTCATAGTAGTTTAGAAATTATCTTTAAATAAATTTTTAATAAAGTCGTTCCACGTCCAACAGGGCTCCCACAGCCTTTGATCTAGAACCATCCCTCATGCAATCTGTTCTGAATATTGTAAATACATTTTTGGATTGTTTTATATCTTTGTATTACATATTGCAACTAAATTTATTTGCTGAGGTTTCAAATGTCTTGGTAAACTTTTGCACAGCTTGAATTCTAATTGTCATTGAATCACTGTCTTTTGGTACAAATCTCTGGAAGCTGAACTACGATCAGTTTTTATTTCACATCTGTCCCAAGGTGAAGACACAGCTTCTATAGCCTCTGTAGGGAGTGCACTGCCATGCCACCAGTGGCTTTGCAGGCACCAACAGGTACAAGTGGTTGTGATATTCTTCCTGTTCGTAGAAGGCAAAGTTTGTACAGTGGCTCTCAGAGCAGAGTTTGAAACTGGGACTAGTCTCAGAGCAGGAGAGAAAGCCCCAGGGAACAGGGGACAGATACTTGGACAGCTTGTGCCTCCTGAGTGCCCATCACACTCCTCATTCCCCATGCCCACATGGCCATGGGCACATGGTCCCTGTCACTGGGACTAGGTTTTCTAGAGTTGGAATAGGCAGATCAGGAGAGAAAGCTCCAAGGAGCAGGGAACTGACACTAGGAGAGCCTGTGCCTGCTTGAGAGCATCATTTCCCCAGGCACTGCCCATGGGTCCTCATTACCCTCGTCAGGGTCTGTCTTCCTCTGAACTGCGTGTGTTGGGGGAGAAACGTGTCTGGTGAGAAGTGCTGGGAGCATCATAGCCCTGTGTTCTTCCAGGTTAACATCCTAAAGGCTTGGGGGTGGGAGAGCTACAAAAGCATTGAGATCCACTTAAAAGACTGACCCATTCCCTCCACATTTGCCTCTAAAGAACTAAATCAGAGGTCTTGCTGCCTGAGTCATGGAAATCGGGAGAAGTGGGAAATACATCTCTTGAGACAGTATTTGCCTTTGCTTCTCCTGTCTCAGTTTTAGCCTGCTAAGCAGGTCTATTCACATGAAGAATGAAAAGAGTATGAAATGGTTAACTGAGATATTTAAGGGAGGTAAATACAAAACAATGCTAAAGAATATAGGATACATGCACTTCTGCAATGGAGGATTTGCAGCAGTGTTTCAGGATATTCCTGCTCCATTTACTATGTGAAGCATGTGTTAAAATGTAGAGCAAAGAGGATAATAATCTTGACTCTTTTCTCTGTATAGTTCATGTTAACCTCCATTTAATGGCTCTATTTCAACAAGCAAAGGAAAGAGGCTAAGGCAGAAAGACAGTCCAAAGTGGAAAAAAAGGTCTGACAGCTGAGGTGGTCACAGATGTAAAAGAGAAGAAAGTCAGTTCAGGAGTGTTGCTTATTCCTCCTGGTGCACCTGAGAAAAAGTGCATCTTCTGACAAGCACAGAATTGAAATAAATGTTAGAGAGGGGAAGAGAAGGCATCATATCTGGACAAGCTGAGCCTGCTTATCTGTCAGAAGTCTTTTGGAAGAATATGCTATTAAAAGTGGAGAGAGATCACTGTAATTAATTAATGAGATCTATGATCTCTCATTTAAAATGCACCTGCATTTAAAAAGATTTCTTCATCTTGTTAAAGGTGTAGAGAGATCACTGTAATTCATTAACGAGATCTATGATCTCTCATTTAGAATGCACCTGCATTTTAAAAGATTTCTTCATCTTGTTAAAGGTGGACAGAAATATTGGTGGATTTATTTCTTTGCTGAGCGAATTCTTTTCAGAGTGCAACGTGTCTTACTTAGTCTTGTTTTAGTGATTATGTTCATTTATACATCTGTCTCTTGGAGGAAAAAAAATCCCCCACAATGACTCTACTCTCAAATTAGTTTGGCAGCATTTACAGGCTTTTTTCTAATGGCACACAAAAATGTGGAGGTTAGATGTGGAAGCCAGGGTGATTTAGACATTTATGTATTTCGGTTTAAAGGTATTGTCAATGAATGTGTCTTAATTCACAAAGCTGTCAAAGACTTGTATTTCCTAGCAAGGGTGGTGAAGCACAAACTTCCTTTTGTTTTTCAAGGATTATGAGATAAAGGAAAGCTTTTGTGACAAGGTACAGTGTTCGACAGTGCTCCACTGTTAGATCAGCTGTGATCCTGACAATTATGTCAATGGCTTCTGGAGCAGGTGGAACATATGCTCTTTTCCAATGAATGGATGAATTACATGACTTTGGGGGAAAGTTATCCAATTTGCTTTTAATGCTTTTTCCCCCCACCTTCGATTTCATATTTAGCTATATCTAAGTACTGCAGCAAACTGGCCCAATATTTTAAGACAGGATCCTCTGTTACTCCCATCTTCTTGCCTCTGTTGTGCAGCACACCCAGAGATACTTGAAGAAGTTTAGATGTCTGGAAAAATACATGGGAAACAAGCAGTTTTAACAATTCTTGAATAATTCTAAAGGACAGTTGCTCACATACATTTTATGTTAAATTCTACATATGCATTTCATGCTGCAGTCAAATTTCCATTTCAATAGAGGGATCTAATAATAGCATGTCAGCCTGTGCCAGGCTGTGGTTTGTGGCACAGTGAAGTATGCAGGGTGATGCTCCATCCTGTGGGCTACTATAGAAAGGCAACAGCCGGAGAGAAACGCGCTCTACAGCATGAACGATGTATTTGTGCAGATGGCTCATAGGCAGAGTGGTTTCTAGAATGATACTAATTTAACTTGGAGAACTCTGAGGATAATCTGAAAAATTTTAGTCTGGTGACACACTTATATGCCTTCTCATTTATGTAATAAAAACTACTGTTATGTTTTCTTCCGTCCTAAGGCAAAAAAAAAAAATTTCTTTCTGAAGAATCACCTTGAGAAGTTTTAGGTAAACAGAAACGATGAAACTGGAAAGAACAGAATATAATTGTCCATTAGCAGAGAGTATAGCATACAAATATAGAGATTTAGATATTTTAAATTACAGTTTGTTGAGAAAGCTAAAAGGAAAAGGAGGAAGCCTCACCAGCTATACTTCCTCATGTGCCTGTGATACATGCTTACAGAAAACTGCTGAAAATTCGCAACTCTGGTAGAGGAAAAGGGGAAGAAAAATCCAACTGCAAAAAAACTTGACAAAGAAACCCAGCTTCTCATCTTTCCATGCATTTCTGAGCCACGTACTACCAAAGGACAAGTTTTTATGGCTATTCCTTCAGAAGTTATAGTGCAGGCTTTAACCTTTCAGCCCTCATCACTTAATTGCAGAACAACTGCAATTGCAATCACCAATGTCATATTGTTTTGAATTTTTCCCTTTATTGTCACACCTTTTGTTCTTGATTTAATTTCTGCTCAAACTGAATTTGCTGTAAAACTGACACTTATGGACAGAAGACACCGTGTGACTCAGCAGTATTGCTGAATTGACTTTCAGCAGTGTTAATTCTCCTTACACTTCAGTTGTGTTGTTTTAGTCTGCATTCCCTGAGCCATGGGTACTGTTCTTCTGTTAATGTGTTTGGAGTGCTAGCTTAAAAACTATGTTGTACAGAGTAAATATGGCAATGATTCCCTTAGGAAAGACATGCCCTTTGATTTCTGAATTTGCCTCATAGCTTCTGGATCCTCCAGAATGTGGCAATGGCTTTGTGGAAGATGGAGAAGAATGTGACTGTGGGACGATAGCAGTAAGTGCAATGTACTTAAAGTTAGCAACTAGATTCTGCAGGACTCGGTGCTGCCCATTGCTGTTGTTAACAATAAGTGAAGGAATACAGGCAGTGTGAAGGTCTTGTGCCAAAGGATTCATCAAATCTTACCTTTTCCGTCATGTTTGACACAATGTGGGCCAGCTTTTTTATTTTATCACTGCATAAATTCTGAAGAGTGATGGTAATAGCTGCCTGTGCAGAATCAGGCCTTCAAAATGTTAAAGAAAGTGTTTTCCTAGATGGGAACATGACTATTTAATGATTGACAATATGAAGTTAGAAGAATTATCTTCTATATTGCATAGAAAACGGCAGTTTTATGCCCCACAAGGACATTCCTTTTTCTGCCTCCAGGTGCTTAAAAGCCTGATTAAAATTCCATTCGGGTAGCATGCTAAGACAAGAAGTGATAAGAAAGCTTGGGGCTCATCTGCTTTTCCCATGTATTGTGTTATAAGTGTGTGTGTTCCTCAGGAGTGTGCCAGTGAAGGAGGAGAGTGCTGCAATACTTGCACCCTGACCGCAGGCTCCCAGTGCAGCAACGGGCTCTGCTGTCGGAAGTGTCGGGTAAGGGCAGTGACCTGCACTGCAGCATCCTGGTGGGAATCCATCCAGTGGCTACAGGCGCCACAGCACACGTGCTTTTCCTTGCAGACCTTGTGATTACTCTTCTGAAAGCTTGCCTTTTAAAATTCACTGCAATCTGATTTTTTTCTGGGGCTATACTCTGTCTTTTAGGCTTGGCTTCTTGAGGCAGGGACTGTCATCAAGTGCAGAGGTAAATTAAATCCTTCCAGTTTCAGAAAAGTTTAAATCAAGTTGAAGTTCCATGAGATTTCATTAGACGTTCTCGTTTAAATATTAGATTAATTAAACATAAAGCTTTCAGTGGACGTCCTGGTTCTTTCCCTGTGAGAGTGATGAGGCAGTGGAACAGGTTGCACAGAGAAGTTATGGATGTCCCATCCCTGAAAGATCAGGTTGGATGAGGCTTTGAGTGACCTGTGTCAGATTACCCCCATGGCAGGGGTGTTGGAACTAGATGATCTTTAATGTCCCTGCCAACCCCAACCATTCTGTGATTTGAACATGCACATCCTTCTCCATGTGCTGCTCCCAAGGCCAGGCATGCTCTGGATTTGCACCATGAGTCTGAATAGGAAAATTATACCACAGAGAGTCTGAGGGAAGGATATAGTAAAAAAATCCCAAAATGCAGCTAGCGGAATTGTTCAGAAGGGTTAATTTAAATGACACCTGACTTCAGTTTCAGTTAGGTCTGTGCGACTCCTTATGTTTGGACTAACTGAAATTCCATTAAGTAAAAGAAATCCAGCCCTTTGTAAGCTATAAGGTATTCTTCCTGATAGATCAGTAAATAGTAAAAGGAGGTCTAACCAGATCTTGGCTGTAAGGGAGCCCAGCTAAATATGACTTCAAATAATTGTTTACACTCATTTAGTAATAATTATAATTAGCATTAACATGATTAAAACTGTGGTGTACTATGCGTGATACTTTGTGCACATTTGAGGGTTTCATTTCCTAAGGAGGATCATTAGTAATAACCGTGGGCCACATCCTTGACTTTGTGCTCATCCTAATGTTAAAAATAGAAAAAGCACAGATTATGCTGGAACAGATCACATTTTTCCTAAGCACATGCCTTTTTTTAATGTAATACAAAAAATAAAAAATAGCAGATTGCCAGTGTGGGTGAATTTTGTGCAAGAATCCAAGTCACATAGACACCATATTAAAGACTATGAGAACAAAACTAAGCCTCTGTCTACCTACATTATTTTTGCAAATGAGACAAGGGTTTATCTACATTCAGATGAGCAAGTGAACAGAAAAATAGAGTCCTGCAAAACACGTGTCCCTAGGAAGTGTTAATCAAGACAATAAATTACAGTTCCCAAATTTGGGGTTACATTCCACTGTAATACCCTGCCTGAAAGGAGGAGTGAAGGAGGAATTGCAAGCAAAATACGGTGCCTATACATCCCAGGATCCTGTGGGGTCTCTGACAACATTCCTGGCTGGCTGCATTTTTTCCAGAGACTGGTAGGAAAAAGATAAGGCGAAGGCTGAGAAAGTACCCTAGTCTAGCTCTTCCACTGACGTGTGCCCGTTCACACCAGCTCTGGAGTTAGCAGTTGTCCCCCAAAAAATATACGTGCGTGCAGATCCAGAAGAAAAATCACAAGAGCTGCATAATGAAGTTGGTATCACAGTCTAAAGAAAGCTTTCAGGAAAAAATAAGGAATCTGCAGTATGTCCATGACCTGAAGCACTAACAATTGCCACAAATGGGATGTCTTCCTGCTTGTCCAGGTCTTGAGACCTAGCACAGAATTCATTAGCCAAAATGCCTATGTTAGTTCACTGGTACGTTTTTCACTGTTAAATATCTGGTCACCTAGAAAATGGTGTCAAACTGTACCAAATTCACTACATTTAATAGTAGTTTCTGTTCTGCAACAACAATGGGGCATTGTAACAACCACAGTGTTTATACATAATGCTCTGTGGTGTTCTTCAACCCTAGAGGGATCAGGATCACTCTTTCTATTTTGTAAAGAAGAGTAAAATAGTCATAAAAAGGCAAAATGACCTGGTCAGGATAATGCTGCCAGCCACTGTGGTGTTGATTTGATAAACCCAAGGGTCCTGTGTCCTGGGAGAGCACTTGGCCCTGCACTTGATGCACTTGGGAGGGGACACCTCACACAGTGGTACCACTTGCACCAGTAAAGGGCTTGAGTGGTGCAGCATCTGCACCAAGGAAATGAAAGTCTTCCCACTTCAGTCAGCACATGAATAATTCCTATTTTTTATTTGAGATAAAACTATTAAGGAAGCATTGCATTTAAGGCAAGATATAGAGAAACCAAGACACTAATTTTCTGTCCTTTTTTCCCCCAGTTTGAACCTAAAGGAGTTTTGTGTCGAGAAGCAGTGAATGATTGTGATATTGCAGAGAACTGCACAGGAAATTCCAGTCAGGTGATTTTTGTGTCTTATATGCAAGAGATAAAAAAGCCCCACCTGTAGTCTCACAATCACTATGAATGTTACTGGTTTGTGTGGTAAGGTGTATTAAAATTGTGTTAAATCTGTGTGTAAAAATTGTGTTAAACCTGTTGATGCTGAAAAAGCAAGCACGATACTGAAATAATTTTTCATATGATTTTTGTTGTATACTTTGCTTTCATGCTTGTCTGATCTATGATAGCTATTTTTTCCTTTCTATAGTGTTCTCCTAATATTCATAAAATGGATGGATATTCATGTGATAACAAACAGGTAATTTGCACTTCAGTTTGTGTTACACTC